GGGGAATTGCAGCATTCCCAGACTTGGAATTTAGCAACAACCTCTTAAGCCTTTTACCTGTCATGACAAAATATGGAAAAAATAATTCAATATCCTCATAGATAGTAAAAAAGCAGAAATGCATTTTCTCCTTGGAAAAAATAATGAACCTAGTCAGGGGGTTGTGCACTTGTCTGATCAAAATGCATGTCAGTTTAGACAAGAAGAAAAGCCTTTAGTTGAAAATACAAACAGAAGTTTTATAGTGACAAATATTTTGTAGCTACATGTACAGGCAATAGTGAAAATATTTTAAATAGAACTTCTAGGAATACAAACGCAAGTACAATTTGGTTTTCTTTTATTTAAGGCATTTTATTCACTTCTAATAAATCTAATAAAATATGCATTGTTTTAATGAGTGACAGAACATTCACATGACAGGTGAAAAACTTTGAGCATTCAAACTATGTTCACTGAGAAACAGGATATGAAATAAAGTAATTGTTAAATATGTGCACTGATTTTGCAATAAAATTCTATGGAGACTAGTAAAGGAATAGGAATCCATTTGCGGAATCCATTTCCTTCATACATAAAATTACTTTAAACTTTAAAAATCCCAAATATTTGTGTAATTTAACAAAGTAAAAATTAAAGCACTTAATAGGATATCCTGTATATATGCCCATGGCAACAGAAAACAGTGTTGTTTCAAACGAAATCCCCCATTTAGAGATATCAATCTGTAAGAATTACATTGCTAATGCACAAGCATGACCTCCTCCTGATCTCTTCATTCGAAGTGCAAACGCAAAAGGAATAATTTCAAAAATATGCAAAAGAAAAAAATACTCCCAAGTTTACTTGTTCTGAATTGCAAGAGGCAGAAAACAATAACCTTTAAACATGGATGACCTACAGATATCTCTGAACTGAAGTCTGATGACTTATAAGGATGCTATAAATTCAGAGCTTTGTTCAATGTATTTCCTAAAGGTAAAAATGAACAAGCAAATAAATGAATCCCAAATTAATGCTGAATAATGTATACTTTTGTTCTATTCTTGGGGCTTTTTTTCCTAACAAAACAATGACATTTCCTAGGTCATGGCATTGAAATACTCCATATTTGCACAATCCAACTAATTATATTCAAAAGGAGAATAGTACATGCAGATCTGAAGAGACATGCCCGTCTACAAAACAAAAAAAAGCAACCCAAGAAACAGTAGTCAAGTTGCTTAGCATAGAGAAACATTAATTCTTGCACATACACACTCAAAATCATACACCACTTGTCTCAGGATTCTGTGTTTTAGATATAATGGCTATTGGTAGGGAACATTTATCAGAGGAAAACTTTTAGGATGAGTGTTTAATCAAAGACTCCATGGCAAACACTGAGAAAGAGATAAGAAGCTCATTAGTGGGTAATCACCTTTAGCAACCTTCTGCAGAATTCTGTGTTGGATAATCGCATTAGGCAAAATTAGGAGAGATTCATTAGAATGCAATCATAAAGGTCTCTGTATCAAATGTAAAGTTAGATGTTTATGATTTCAAACATAGACTCATAGAGGAACTATTGAAAATAATGTGTTTAAGGTTTTTTATTGAACATAGACCAAAAATACCTTAACAGCAATTTAGTGCATTAAGTCTTTAAGCCATGCTGTTAAGACTTAAATCAAGAATCTGTCACATTCTTAGGTTGTTTCAGTAATTCAATACCCACCAGTATTATGTACCTTGGGTTATTTTTATTCTTTATTCATCAAGCTTTTACCCCTTAAACTCTTCACTGCTATTGATTAGAGAACTGTCATCTCCAAAAAATGTTTTCTTTCTGCATGAGTTTCTGCAGTAAATCAAGTCATTTCTTCATCCTCTTTCATATACACTGAAAAGTTTAAGTTCCTTCAGTTTCTAGGCAAAATGACAATTTTGAAACCTATCAGAACTTGCTTTCTGAATTCTTTTTCTAAATCCTTTCCAATTTATTAATGCTATTTTGCCTTCAAGAGTGACACTGTTCAAACTATGACATCTCTAATCATGAGTAAAAAGAACTATGTTTTTTCATATTCTTATGTAATCATCTTCTGCTTACACATTAGTTATATTTAACCACAGGGCTACTTTGGGAGTTTATCATTCCAGTTCAAATCTACACTGTGTATTTCAATACCTTGGAACAAAACCAAAATATATCCAAAGTTCTATTGAAAAATGTTGTATCAAAAGAAAGCCTGTGTAGCACTGTGACTGTGATGACTGACTGGCAAGGGGAAGAATCAGATTCAAATTTCTCATACTCCTCATTTAAGAATACAACTTTTTTATGCAAATTCATTTCAAAATTGGCAGATCAAGAATTTGAACAATGGTCTGCAGTGAAGACCATTAGACTTCTACTTTGTTACAAATGTAGACTTTTTGCAAGTTAACATGTTCTCATCAAATATTTTGTATTATCATTTCCAGAAAAAAAAATTTGAATTTATGCCTTGATTGGGTATCTCCTTCATTATTAGCTAGCATTTTTTTCTGGGAAGTAGGAGGGGAAGATTCCAAAGTTATAAATAATTTTACTGGAAAATAGCGGTATTAAAAATAACTTTGCAGTTTCTTCAAAATCATGGATAAACATATCAAATAGCTCTAAGCAAGAATAGAAAATGGTAGAAGGGTATTTCCAATTATGCACTTTTCCCACATATAACTACTTTTCTTTTTGTGGTACTGGTTAACCATGTTTTAATCAAACTGAATATTTTAATTTTAAATTTATGACAATGCGAATTTCAGTTAGAATGTTTCTATAGCCTTTACAGGAGTGCATCTATGTTTTTAGACAAATACAAATGTTACATTCTGTAAAATTAACCTGCCAATATAGAAACTGATCTCAAGCTTGCCTGACATAAAAGTTTCATCAAAATACTATCTTTGTTGTATTTGGTTCTGTATAGTAGCAATAATATCTCCATTTATCAGCATAGCTCCTTCGATTACTCTGCAAACATTATTTCTCTCTAATATCTCTAACAGTCTCAGAAGATAAGATGTATCCATAAAACGGAATTCCCTACTACTCCTATATTTCTAATATGAGCAAGGGAAAAGGGTTTGACCTATAATAATTTGTTAGAACACAAAGGATACCCTATATAGAAATCTTAAGTTATCAAGCCTGACTGACAATGAGGCAAGACCCTGTAGTTCAGTTGTTTTGGCAGTTTCAAGTTTCAATTTGCTCAACATTCAAGCTACTACTAGACCAAAAGCCAGTCCTTAGGAAGCACTAATAGATCCCAAATCTGCATTCCCATAGTTGTAAATATGTTGTATGCAGACATATATTCTACTTATATATTCTACTCCTAGGTTTCTAGTTCTTATTTACATTACATTTTTAAATAAATGTGAAATATAATTTTAAAAGAATATTGACCTAAAAATTAGTAGGTATATATATGCTGAGATATATCATATATGTGAACAAGAGATCAAAATATTCAAAAAGAACATTACTGTAGCATTTCTCTTACCTCTACAGATAGGAACAGGGAAGTCCCATGATGCTGTAGTCACAGAGTTAGCTATGCAAGTAAGCTGGGGGTGTCCATCCAAAATATATCCAGTTACACAGCTGTATCGGATTTTGTCACCAACGTCAAATCTTGTACCATACAAGATACCCTTTGGTGGAACTCCTGGATTGCCACAGGAACTACTCTGTAATTCTGGAGAAGACATACATTTATCACTTACAATGTGGGTTTTTTTTAAATCAATACTTCATTTTGCTCAAGAATATAGAACACATAAATTATGAGAAGTTCAGACAGACAGTGTGCTTTTGTGGATATTATACAATTCTTAACAGTGAAAATCCATTACTGACTCAGTCTATTAAATATCTGCTTATATACCCAGGTATTCAAAGGTAGATGAAAATGAGCATGAGGTTTTCCTTAAGCTCCAGCTATAGATATAGTCTTCTTTTCTTGCTAAATTGCCAGCAAAGAAGTCATTACATAGGAACAAGAAACAAAGGAACTTGATGTTTTTCTGACTTTCAAGTTATACAAATGCAAAACAATAAACAAAACTGTAATACAGACATGAAAGAACATCAGATTCAAATTGAACAACATTCAGAAGTAAAAATAAAAGTCATCAAGACAAGAAAATTTTAACAAGCACAAGCCTGAGCATGATCAGGAAGCTGTTGAATGATTTAGTAGAATTTAGATAAGGAAAACGTGCTGAGACACTGTAGGTAACATTTCTGAGCAAAGGATTAGTTAATTTAATTGTGTGAAAAACTATAGATCTGGTTACTTCTACTCTAATGCAGAGCTCTAAACCATTGAGAATCCAAAATGGTTGATGGATACTGTTATTCTGATTGAGTGTATTAATTAGAGTTCAGTTTTACTAGTTAGTACTCACACTCCAACTGTGTATCCTTTTGACTGGTGTTTCAGCATCACAAATGGCTTTATTACAACATTGTCCATCATTTACTTCTGAAGTCTTTAGTTAAAGGATATTAAAAGATCTCTTCAAAGCTTGTACTAAGTATCCTTACCAGCCTAATGCTAATAGGGAAGTGGCAAATCAGGTAAACATGTATTTGGATTAATAGCAGATTTCCCTAATCTACAAAGTAAGGAAAACGATGGAAGAATAGAAGGGTATATATGCCGTCTTAATTTCTTTTCTTGAGTTCCATGTGACTAAATTATTCTTCCGCATCTCTGATGTGCTCATGGGTGTGCACACACAGGCACACACACATATATGTGTTAATATATTTAAATCTCAAAACTGTTATAGTAGGTTTCAATTAAAGAAAAAATGTATAAATGCTTATCAAACCAAGCAGTATGGATCATGAGATTCATTACATTCTCAAACTTCCATGCCAAGGACTACCAAAAACTAGGATATATTATTATATTTCTGATACCAGCGATGAAACAGAACTATGTAACAGTTATTAAAAGGCAGAATCCACTACTGTCATAAATATATGCTCTATAACTTCATACATATATATAATATATAAAATATATGCTAGCAATGTGTTCATCTGCAAGACTTGATGTACCAATCATGTTTTGATGTGAATATATTAAATATGCATATTAGTTGCTGATGTTGCTGCTATTTCTTGCTCTCTCTTACATAATAGTCTGTGGTTCTGGATTTGACTTTCATTGCCTTGCACAATGACACAGCACAGAAGTAAGAAGGTAGTCCATCTCATCTTGATCACTTCAAAGTCCACCTAAAGAGCAGATATTCTTACCACTGCTTTATCAAAATGTTCTGTGCTGAAACAACACTGCCCTGTCCCCAAATCTGTTTGCAAGCTTTACAAAGAAGCAATGTTGCAGCTACTCCTGCATATCTGTGCAAACGGATTTCTCTTAAATCCTCTAAAGGTTTTCGGGGCCATTGAATTTATTATTTACCATCATAGCATGTCAAAATGGAGGTAAGAATATCATCCTGTGGATTTTGGTTATCATATGAATCATATATTAACTTGAGAACTCTGCTGTACACAGTGTTTTCATTTTCCACTTCCCCATGAAGATGAAGTCTTTCAGACGCCTCTATCTCTGAGGGCTTTGTAAAAAGGTCACAAAAGATTCCCTTTCCTTTGGAATAAAAAAAATATAAAGATTAGTGATGCCTTTAACTGTCACTGCCTAAAATTGCTTCCTTTACTGTTACTGCTGTCTCACCAAGAATTACCCACAGAAGGTAGTTTATTCTTATGACATTATATTGTATTTTAAAGTACTAATTAAAAATTACCCTCCTTCTAAAATAAAACTAATTTTCCAGTTGCAATACTCTATGACTCATCTAAAAAGAATACTTGGCATTTTTCATTAACTTTTTAACATTATGAACGTGACTAGGGAGCATGTTACTACTTCTACCCCCTTCAAGCCATTTTGTTCCTGGTTCTAGATAATAATGTAGAAAATAAAGGGTACCATTTTAAATATGTATTAGTTTATTCTGTGAGTATTTTCAGTTTGAATATATACAAGTGCATTACTGGGGGGATGGGAGGTAATTCACCAAGTAACTGCATGTGTCTTCTTTGATAGGTAGTATCTATTTTCAAACTGAATGTGACACTGTACTACCAACTCCCTGCCATTTAAAGCTACGGGTTGTTACTCTGAGATTGTCATCTGTCAGCGAACACAGGAATTGCCAAACTAGACTGTAATTTTTATTCAGCTCTGCACAGATTCTTGACTTCAGTGGCATTTTGATAATCACTAGTGATATGAAGGGTGGAAAAGTATTTCCTTTTAAATTTGCCACATTGTAATATGATTGAACTTCTCCCTGTTCGTGTACTCTGAAAATAAGCATAATTGAATTTTTTACACCATCCTACTTTTTGTGTTTTTATTGTGTATTATTTCTCATCTCCTTTTTAAAGAAACCTGTCCCAATTGTTTCAATCTCTCTTCAAGCAGGAATTTTCTTTGTCCTAGATTTCATTTTGTAAACAAGGTATGTATGAACCTATTTGTCTTCTTTTTTTTACATAATGATAAAACACCAAGATTAAAATATCCTTCAATGCTGTTCAATATGTTACTATTGCATTAATTCTTATTAACGTTGATGGAAATTCTGTTCAAAACCTGTGGCTATAATATGTCTCAGAATTCTGCTCAGTAGTAATGGACACACTCCTTTAAAGAGTCTATTTAGCAAAAATTCAGACACTTATAAATAATAATTAATAAGCTATTCAAATTAAATCACATTAAATATCATTTATGTCCGACAATTCTTTCAAAAACAAGGCTGCTCCTTGTCAGCAATCACTCAAGGGGAAACAAATCATAAGCAGATATGGAAATTTCAAGTTTACTTCCTTTTATTCAGATTTTAGGTTAGGATTTTTTTTCTAATGATATTTATGAAATCAAGAGTAGCACCTGTCCTCCCTAAACTGTTTAAGCAGGAAATTTGTAATTCAATGTTCAAATATCCAGAACAAGTATTTGCAAATGTTCCAGTAGAAAATGCATTTGTCATATCATGGCATTGCGTTGAGTTCAGTGGAAAGTATATGTATTTTCTCTGCTGAAGACTAATGTTTTTCATATGCTAAATATGATCACAGAAATTTAGTAACAAATAAATTTGCCTTTTTGTAAAGGGTTGATCCATGTATTTTCACAGGTTTTGTTCACAGCTATTACAAATCATTGTGATCCCATTTTTCCTGACCTAAAGTGAGAAATACTGTCAATACATACATCTTCATGAGTACTCACTCATTGAAAAACCTATGTAATATTCCAATAGAAGCTAATATTTATTTCACTTAGTACTTTTGAAATTAAATACTCCTGGTATCCCTATGCTCTCAGTTTGGATATCTCCCTGTATTACTGCATGTGCCCAGTCCTAGACTGTTTGTTCACTCGTCTACTATTCTAAACAGTAGTTCTTCTGCCATGTAAACCTCAATATGGTCCAGGGAATACGCCATTCTAGGGACCACTCCAGCTGTCATTTGGGACAGGACCTGGTGTAACTGGAGATACAAGAACATGTCTGTATACAGATATTCCTTGGAAAAGGGACACATATGTACTTTAACAAGGGAGAATGCTTTGGTATTGAAGACTCGTCTGATTTCAGAAGTGCTGCATGTAGTATATGTGTGCCTATAGAGAGGGCTAGACATTCCCAGGGTCCCAAATACTAGGACAGATGCATTTATAACAATATGAAGTAGCCTGAAATTCAGTTGTCCAAAATTCACCTGTATTGAATCTTATAATGGTTTATTTTAGTTGTACATAGTTTCCCAGAGGTTTTGTAAACTCATAAAGTAACTTGGATGCATAGTTTCTATCTCATAATATTTTGTCTTTTTTTCCTCAAAACATATATTTTGCTTGCTTTCTGTTTTGTCCTTCTTCACATTGCTCTGAATGTATGACCAAACATGGTCTAAATTTAAATCTAAAAGGAACTAGAATTAACTGATGAGTATAGAAATAGTTTTCCTGTACACATATTGACATATATGCAAGCATACCTGTTCCACATGAGTTTATATAGTGAAGGAAACCTCAGGTAAAAAATAGAGTAGGCAAGATCAGTGCAGTGAAGGAAAAAAAAAAGAAAAACTTAGTGTATAAGTGTTGGTTTAACTGCACGAATATGTCGGGTTCAGAGAGCAAAGAAAGACACATTGCAAATGAATGCTTTGAAAGATCATCATGCAGTACAGATATATTAAAACAGATATTAAATTTTAAAACTCCCTATCCCAAAATCCAGGTCTTTCTTTTGTAGGAGTTCAACAACAAAAGTGGCTACCCCTTGATTCCAACAAATCTCTCATCTCAAGATACAAGTGCACAATGAACAGTCATTATTCTGAAAGTCACATCTATTTACAGCAGTGATAGAAACAGTTTGTCTAACAACCAAAATTTCTCTTTAGCTCTTATTTTCATTTCTACATTTTATGTGGATCAGTCAGAACAAACTGTCGGATTCCAGTGCCTATCTATAAATACACAAGTAAGAGGAAGTGTGAGAAGATTTGTTGCTTTTTTTTTTCCTAAAGGAAAACAAGGTAAAGCATGTTTGTTTTTTTTCTTTTCCTGTTCTTCATTGCTCTTCCTTGATAAATAGCTTTGTAATAGCAACCTCACTGAGGGTCTCTACTGTT